GTGAAGCAATGTCGGTCGTTCAAGTGAAAGACCAAAGCTTTTCCCTTTTCCCTTTGGAATAGCGATTTTTCTGTTTTTTCTGCGGCGAAGAAAGAAACTATACTTATTTACGTCACCGAAGCTTGGACATTATATTCATCTCCACAATTGTGTCTTACAATTGGATGGATTTGGATCCTCCACCTTCATAATTTGGAGAATTCTTCGTCCAAGTTGTTATTGTACCGGTAAGATGCAGTCGCGATGATCACTGGTACATTGCAGAGAGCCATGGGGGTGGTGCCGAGTTCGAGGCTTGCAGAAATCATACGGAATGAACTCACGCAAAAAAAGCTTTGCAGTAGTTTCACGCAGGTTGCACGGGACAGGTCGGCTTCCTTTCTTCTCTCTTGGTATAAAGATAAATGCAAAGTCGGCAACATAGCACCTCGGTTCGTTTCCTTTTGTTCTCGTTCTTGCTGTAAGTCTTTGCATACATGTCTGTTGTTTTGAGCGAGATCTTTTGAATGCAGGTTGCGGCTAGCAGAAACGAAAGATGTTGAGTTTTAAAAGGCCTGTTTTGTTGGCTGGAAGACTGTTCAGGAACTCGCACTCAACAAATGGCTAGAATTGTTGTCTTTTAGTAACGAACTTTGGCTCAAGGTTGTGAACAGGTGATCTGTCATTCCTCGACTCTGTCGACCATTACTTCAACAAAGCTGCAGAGATATCATCCGTGGACAAGGGATTGCTCGCATTCATCAAGGTAGACATGATATATGGTTGCTGTTGAATAATGGTTTCCTCTTTTTTTTTTTAAGGCATGTAACAGCATTATCAAGTTCCACGTTCCCTTGAAGCGCGCTTGTGGGAAACTGGAGCTTATTGAAGGTTACAGAGCTCAGCATTCGCATCACAGGCTTCCAGGTTTTCAATCAATATCTGGCTAGAAGGTGTTTGAGTATTTCCGTTGTTTTCAGTGAAGGGAGGGATACGACTGGGACCAAATGTAGATGCCAACGAGACTATGGCTCTTGCGGCGTTAATGACTTACAAGTGCGCAGTAGTCAATGTTCCGTTTGGAGGTGCCAAAGGCAGCGTCCGGATAGGTAGGTTGTCTGCTAATAGTCGCTTTAAGTCCTACAGTGTTTTCTGAATTTGGAAGATCCCTCCAAGTACACTTCTACAGAGAAGGAAGCAATTTTAAGGCGTTATACTGTCGAGCTTGTCAGAAGAAATTACATGGGTCCTGCAATAGTATGATCTGTCCTTCAGTTCCTCCTTCTAAAGAAACTTCTACATTGTCTTCAGGATGTTCCAGCTCCGGACTACGGAACGGGTTCGCTGGAGATGGCATGGATTAAGGTGGGCTTCGCTTTCTACTTTCTGTCATGGATTAAAGCCCTTTTGGATTCTGTAGGACACATACAGTTTTTTAAGGCACACTGACATAAATGCTTCGGGGTGCGTGACCGGAAAACCAATATCAGAGGTGATCACTTGGATTTTCGTTGTTCTTCTAAACTTCTAATCTTTTAGGGGGGAATACAAGGAAGGCAGGAAGCTACGGGACTCGGTGCATTTTTTGTTTTGAGAGAGTTCTTTAATGACGAGGTAGCTTCTGATTTTTCAATCAACAATTTAACAGCTCCTGGCATTTGCCACAGGATCTTGTACGCAAAGTCGGACTTACTAGAGGTGTAAAAGACAAAACTTTTATTGTTCAGGGTTTGGGAAACGTTGGTCTTCATGCAAGCGAGGTAAATCGCTAGCTTAAAAGTATACCTGTGCATAAAGTTTTTCCTTTTAGTTTATACACAGGGCTGGAGGTCGAATAATCGCCATAGCTGAACGCCACGGAGGACTTGTTGACGAGACTGGGAAAGGTCTGGATATTGAAGTTGTTAAAAGTTATCACAAGAAAAACGGTACCTTGAATGGATTGCCCAACGTCAAAAACGTAAGTAAAGCACTTTATCTTTCCATCACGTTTCTTACTGTCTGATAGATTACCGACACTGAGAAAATTTTGGAGCTCCCGTGCGACGTGCTGATACCGGCAGCCTTAGAGTCCCAGATTCATTCCGGGAATGCTGATCGTATCAAGGTGCATTGCATTCGAGAAAGGTTCTTTTTCATTGTCCAACGCACCCTTGTTTCTCTGTTGCAGGCTAAAGTGATAGCAGAAGCTGCAAATGGACCTCTCACGCCTGCCGCAGACAAGATTCTCGAAGGCAAAGGCGTCGTTATTCTCCCGGATTTGCTCGTGAATGCGGTATCTGGGTACTTAACGGCGGTGAATTCTCGGAACATGACAAACGCTCTTGCAGGGTGGAGTCACTGTCTCTTACTTCGAGTGGCTAAAGAACCTGAATCATATTGAATTTGGACGCATGACTCGAAGAATGGAAGAGCATGGGAAGAGAGTAAGCTTCTATTAATCCTCTCTATTGTTTATCGTCCGAACTTAAGCCGGATTGATACAGGTTCTTCTCAGTGCCTTGGAAAACCAATATGGTAACGGACATAAAATCCCGACGAGCCTGCGGGACGAATTATCGAGGGGGTAAGTTTTCAGTCATCCTGTTTTTCTCGTTTCTTAGTTTTTTTTTTTTTTTTTTCATTTCTTGCGAGCAGCAACACGGAAGTGGACTTTGTCCATTCCGGCTTGGAAGAAACGATGGTCACCGGCTGGGAGAATGTGAAGAAAACAGCACAAGAGAAGGTTAGAAATACACTCTTCCGGGATTTCTAGCTGAGAACTTCTTTCGTTCTCTCTGTTCTCTCGCAGGGCTGTAGTTTTCGCAAGGCTGCGTATCTGGTAGCAATCGAGAGAATCGCAAAGAGCATTGGAGACCAAGGGATATTTCCCTGAGAAGAGAATTTCAAATTTAAAAAAACCGGATATTCCTCTTTTGTGGCTCTCTAGGGTTTAGCTAGGGCTCTTGGCGACGGCGATGGAGGAGGCGCGAAGGAGGGCGCGGAGGCTGGAGTTGCCGAAATGCCGTGTCTTTGCCTCCGACACTGCGAGAGGCGGCCGGGTCGGCGACGATTTCGGCGCCGATGATCGATTGCTCTATCTGGATTCCTACTCCAAGGAGCGGCTCATCGGTTTCTTGCAAGATGCCGTGCTGGAGCACCGCTGGGGTGAGGCATCCGGGGTTTGTAGCGCATTGCTTCGCTCGCTATCGCTGTGGTCCAGAAGCCACAAGGACACAAGGCAACTGTTCACGGTATTTGTGTGCGTTTGTGTGTTTTGTGCAAACTTTGTGTTACTTTGTTCTTCCATTCTAGATGGCTCTAGAAATTCTCGAGAAAATAGAACCCGATGAGGACAATCACACCCGATACAGGAAGCTTTTTAGTCTCATGTACAGTCACCAGCCACAAACTAGACACCTCGAGGGAAAAGTAAGTGCTTTTCTTCTTTCTTCCTTCTCTCATGAAAAATGTCCAGAGACTTCAAGGCGAAGTGGAATTCCACCTAGCAATTTATCTCTTGAGTGTAGGGGACTGGGAAGGTGCTTATAACACTTTAAGAACGTAACTTCTTCGTGCTCTTTGCTTTCGTTTTCCCACGCAAACTAAAACTTTTCTTGATTGGGATCACAGAATAGCGGATGGTGCTTTGCGTGACGATCCGGGAGTGAACTTAACGTATGGCCAGGTGCTGCATCATTTGTGGTACGAGCAAGTATGTGAAGAAGCAGGGATTAATGACGTGAGCGAAGGTGCTGGTTCGTTTGGGGATTGGCAGCCAGAAACTCGAAGTGGCGATGAAGCTAAGGCCGTCGGAGAGGAAGAGCTAGTCAGAGACGTAGACGACGCAAGCGAAGAATCGAGAAACTCCACCTTAGCCGAAGTAACCAGGGACAAGCCGTTGAACAGAAAGCGGAAGAACTCGGAGGCTTCTGAGGATGACGATTTCTGGCCAAATGCTAGAGTCGAAATACAGCCAAGTAAGTGTTTCCTTTGTATTGACTCGTGGGGATATGGCTTCTAACCGGGGTTTCAGTTATGGATAGGAGATTGTTTCCTGTGCAAATACCATACGAGCAGCCCAATGTTGAGTATATAGTTCCTTTATCACCTCGTTCGAAGGAATTTTACGATAAAGCCGTTGAACACTTACAACGTGCGATTGCGTCGGCACCAGAAATGCTAGCAGCGCTGATTTGCCTCGTGCAAGTTCGTAGTAATTTTTCTTTTCACTATTTTTATGTTTATTTGTTCGTTTTTGCAGTTGTTACTTGCGACTGGCGATGCTGAGGGTGCTAATAAGGAGATCCAAATATGCTACCAGGCTACAGGGCATATCATACCATTAAGGTATGGATCTAAGCACTTGTCGTGACTATTTGTCACTTGCCTTTAACAGCTTACGAATACTTCTGCTCGAGTCGCTCTCCGAGAAGGACTGGAATAGAATGGCTCAGTGCTACGAGGAGATACTGAGCCATAACCCGTCGTCCGTGGATGCCATCACTGGTTTAATCGGCTTGCACGAGAAAGGTTGACTTCCATATCCGAAGTATTTGTAGCTGACAGTCGATAGTATTACAGGTGAATATGCTACTGAATCGCTTATCAAAGCTATTGCCACCCATCTGGACGTGGAGCCTGGCTCAGTTCATGTTTGGCGTAAGCTTGCCGATTGCTTTATCGAGATCAGCTCACATATCAACAACGACGTGGGAGATATATCGGCTGAGGAGCTTGTTTCTGTGTTCCTGGACAGAAATTGGTGGATAACCAAGCACTTCCCTGAAAACTTAATAGCGGCCGACGAATCCGGTATGCTGGTTTCATTCTTCGATCCAACTTAAGTCTCAAACTTACAGCAAAGCGGTGGAAGATGGTTACCTACAAAGCTGCCTGCGCTGCTCATATATTTGGATCTTCTTTTTCGTATGTGACGAAGGCAACATATATCTTGAAAGAGCTCGACAAGAAGCGTTTTCTGGACAAGTTAACATCACACCAAGAGCAGTCCTTGAACTTGCTAGCAGAAGGTGCTTGAATCCACTCTCTCAACCTTTTGAAGATGCAACGCAAAGCACCGTTGCTCATGGAATCCAGCGGCATGAAATGGTAAGTTTTATCTAAAGACATGCTTTTTCGTTTTTATTGAAATGACTTCCGAGCTACGAAGCATATAGTACCAATGTCTGCTCTGACAAAAATATGGTCTGGTATGGACTTCGTTTGTTTTTTCGACACTGGAATTTAACATTAACTTGCAGAGAACATCCTGGCTATTGTACTAAGTTCTCGAAGAGCTCAACAAGTAACGTTCTTTTCGGGCATCGCACGCACCGAGAGAGCACTCTTTATACTTACTGGGGCTTATGATTCATTCTTTCCGTGGCCAACTAACGGGACCGCAAACAAACAACAAAACTGTTACACTTCGTTTAGCAACGCTCTCGATCAACTCAACGTCTCACTCTGCTCGTTACAAACCAAGCTTATGGAACACAGCAGCGTTCGCTTACACAAAACTTAATCATCCAACTTCCAAAACACGAAGTCAATGTGACAATAAATGGCAACTCCAGAACAAGCAGCTCCCTCTCGTGAATCGTAGATGGTAAGTTCCCACTCCTTTTTCTATTGACTAGAGAGAACGAGGACACGGGTCTCACTCACTTCTACTTTATTTTTTCTTTCTCCACAGGAGCTGGAGCAGCAAGAATTCTGGATAAAGCCGCGCGCTCCACACTGTCCGAGAGATCGATCGCTTAAAAATCCCGTGGTGTGACAGTTTGATTCAGCTCAAAGCTAGCTCTCCTTGATCCACGAAGAAAAGAGAGAGTAAGCTTCTTCACTACCAAGCAATCCAGCCAGAGAGGCCTCTGACCATTTCTATCTTTTTTTTATACTTTACCAGGTACTTCTCACATGGTTGAATCACCTGGGGTCGAGAATGATGCCGGGGATATTCGCGGCCGTGACCCTGTTCACACCGCGACAGTTTAGAGCTTTTTTGGAGCCGGGTGATTATCCTCTTCTCGTTTGCTCGCTTGCTACATCGCAGCTATGGAGCTTTAATGGCGCTGGCGCTTGGTTCTTGCTAGGGTTTGGGCGTTTCTTGCTGCTTCTTTGGCAATCCCGGGCGTTTTCTCGGTCGCGATGGCGCGATCGAGGCGCTGCTGCTGGAGGTGGACCGTCGACGGCGTGCTACTTTGATCGATTGCAGCGCAGCACAGGTATGCGGCTTTCTTGCTTTCCTCTTCTTTCTCTGGCCTGCGAGAATGTAGCTTGGTATTTCGACCTGCATTCTCACGATTGTGTGTGTAGATGGGTCCTTGATGCTGCCGACGATGACCATGGCGCGGTTCCTTCTTTCGCTTTGTCTGGGATCGATGCTAGCGCATTCCAGTGGCGCTGCTGGGATTCGTTTCCACAGTAGACGAGCCTTGCAAGCGCCGGATTCTGCGTTGCTGGCTCCCTATCAGGATATTGATCCTCGGTCCTGGGCCCCTTTTCTTCCACCTCCAGTAGCTCCTTCTCCCAGTGAAGACCCACGGTCGTTCCAATCACCGGTTTCTTATTCTCCTCCATCTCCAGCATTCCCAGTTGCTACATCACCTTTGCAAAAGCCTGCTGCGGTGGTTCTTCCTGCTTGGCTAGCGACTGCAGCTCCAAGTCCTCATTCACCAGGTACGTTTTCTCCGAGGAAAAACAAGGAAACTTGAAGAATTGAGCTTGTTCTTCCTGTGCAGGGCCTTTCCTTGCAAAGCATGAGCTTGACGAAGATCAGGGGCTGCCAAAGCTCACCAAAGGCATGCTGCTTACAGTTGTTCTCGTCCCAACTCTGCTCGGGGGCTCAATCCTGTTCTCGACTTTCGTTGCATGGATGTGCCACCGGCCTCCATCTCTGAGGCATTCGCCGGCTGGTAGCCAACGCAGTGACGGATACTCGTCCGGTACGTCGGTACTCGCTGGTTGCGGTTTTGTAACTGAGCTATTCTTTTGTAGGTGGTTCCGGACGAGGCCCGTTTGCACCGTGGCTGTGGGGACGTAGTTTCAATGCCCCTCGAAAGGAACTCGCTCATTCTTTCGAGTTTCCTTTGCTCCAGGCAGCAACTAGCAATTTCGGTACTGCGAACTTGTTAGGAGAGGGTGGCTCTGGACGCGTTTACAAGGCACGACTAGACGACGACTGTTTTGCGGCAGTTAAATTATTGTTTAGCGAGGGGAAACAAGCGGAACAAGCATTCCAGGTTGGTTTTTCTAGATATTGAAGAACGACTAGACATTTATCTTCTTGGGTGCTGTTTTTCCAGGCTGAGGTTGAACTCTTGAGTGGGATTCGCCATCCGAATCTCGTCTCCTTGCTAGGATTTTCCAGCCACGGAGATCAGCGGCTGCTGGTGTACGAGTATATGCAGAATGGATCTTTGCAAGATCAACTCCATGGTATGTTATCCAGGTTATTGTCCAAATAGCTTACACGCTTTTATCCATTTTCAAGGTCCTCTAAAGGGATCGATTCTTTCGTGGCACCTGAGAATGAAAATCGCACTTGACTCGGCAAGGTAACTTGGATAACGTTTTTGTGGTTTTCTGAAGCTCATAGTCGATGTCATTTGCAGAGGTTTGGAACACTTGCACGAGCACTGCAACCCTCTTGTAATCCATCGGGATTTTAAATCGTCCAACATCCTTTTGGACGCAAGCTTTAATGCCAAAGTTCGGATGAAACATGTGACTTGAATCGGAATTAAGTTTTTCTTCATTCTTTACACAGGTTGCAGACTTTGGGCTTGCACTGTCTGCTCCAACTGGAATCAGGCAGGACGAGATCGTTCAGGGAACTCTTGGCTATGTTGCCCCGGAATACATCCTGAATGGTAACAAAACATATCCATTGCGCAACACTAGCTCACTGCGGAAAACTTTTGTGCAGGGAGCCTCACGGAAAAAAGTGATGTGTATGCATTCGGAGTTGTTCTTCTGGAGCTTATAACTGGGAGAAAGCCGATCGATCCATCCATGCCAACGGGATCTGAGTCGCTAGTTACTTGGGTATGTCGAATCCTTGTCTTGAGCCTTTTGGTTCTGAGAGGTTTCACTTACTCTAGGTTCTGCCGCTCTTGGGGGATCGAGCATCGTTGCCAACCGTGATAGATCCTGTTCTCCAAGGAACCGTGGATACAAAGCATCTCCATCAGGTGAGAAACTTTGTAGAAGGTTGTCTGATGGCCTGCTTGTGTAAATTTTCCAGGTTGCTGCAGTAGCAATGCTGTGTGTGCAAGCAGAGCCGAGTTATAGGCCACTCATTGCGGATGTTGTGAATTCCTTGATCCCGCTCGTTCCGATTGAGTTGGGAGGGACATTGCGTGTTGCAGAGACGGTGCTCGAGAACAAGTCATTTGCGGCATTGCAATGGAACGTATCCTCCAATGACTCCATTGTTTATGGGGAGGATGCTTACTAATGTTTGTGTATGTTTAACTCTTTCGTATTTGAATTATTATTATTACCATTGAGACTAAGTAATTCTCAGAGAAATGATCCTCGTCACTTATTCTCTATCTAAAGGGACAATCAAAACCAGAAGATAATATTAGTTAAAAAATCTAAAGTTTGTTATTTCTAGGAGAGACAATTACACAGTGAAGTTCTCCATTTACATTCTTGACACAGAAATTCAATGGTATTGCTCTGGAGATTGGTGGATATCAATTTATAAGCTATGCACGATCTGGTTGTCAACATCTTCTTTGCAAGATTGCAATCCCTGGATATTTAGTAAAAGAGTTGAATAGTGAGGAAAATTATTTTCTTGAGTGTGTGTTGCAACCAAGATTTTTGTTTTATCATTGTAAGAAGGATTTTTGCAAGACTTGAGAAAGTCACCTCAATCTACAAATGGATCTATTTCTATTGTAAAAGTAAGAGCAAATAAACATAAAGAAAAAGAAAAAAAGAAAGTAGTACCTCATCATGTATTTTTTGTTAACTCTAAGAAACTTCACATTATGAAAAAGCAACTTGTCTGTCATTTGTTTGTATAAAAGAGATTAAACTGTTTATCATGTAATGAAAGCCTGTAACAATGTAATAGGGCTATACACTTGCCAGATGTCAAGATCAGCTATTTTCCCTGGCTACTGTGATCCGCAAGCAAAGAATGTGATGACAATCTCCTGCTAGCTTGATGAAGAACATGAATATATTATATACCACCTCACATAGTTCTTATTTGGCAAGCAAACTAATTTGTTTGATTTTTTTAAGGGTATTAAAGAAGTGAGTAATAGTTTGTTTTATTTATTTTTATAAAAATGTAAAGCATGTGATTTTGACCATGGTGTATATCATAGCCATGAAGTAAAACAGTTTTAGGGCCTTCTATAAAGAGTGAACAAACAACAATATAGAATAACAATAAAATAGTCCTAAAGTATCTAAATCCCAATATATAAAACAAAGTAAAATGAAATATAACACTATCTCAACATAAAGATGTAGTACTCCATTAGCTAACATGTTATAGAGGTTGGGTGAACATAAGTCAATCTTATATATCTCTGAGAAAAAATCTGTAAACTTATTAAATATAAAATGGTATTAGATTATGAAATAACACTATTATGTTTAGGATTTCATAACTAGCAATTCGGACACATTTTATAAATACTATTGGGACCAAAATGAAACCAACACATCAGTAAATATATTAGATAGACACACTAATCTATCAATATCAAGAGACTAACTCAATATCAAATCGGTTTTCAACATTATCACACTTTGGAATTCAATCCTTCTGCTCATTTAATCAAGTGCATACAATGATATGACTAATTTCACAATTAGCTTAAATGGAGAATGATGAAAAGAATCAATAATAACAACCTTTTACAATTGTGGCACTAAGGAGAGAATTTTAAAAGTGCTAGCTTGAAATTATATTTGCAACAATTTAGTTATTAACATTTTCTTTTGTAAGCTTTAGATATAGACTAAAATAGCTGAGTTATGAGTGCATGTTGCAACAAAAGTTATTTAAAAGGGGACTTATACAAGACTTGAGGATAGTGTACACTTGCCAAATGTCAAACCTTATTCCTTAACAAATATTACAATTTAAGTGTCACTAATTTAACATTTTGCATGTTTCCACATATACACAGATAATATTTACCTCAAGAATAAATAAAATATTACACCCTCAAAGTTATCCTTTTCTATCTGATGTAGACTAGTACTAGCTAATCTTGTAAATTATTTCTCAGAGATTCCATATATAAATTCAAATATAGGTAGGTAATTACAAATTCCCATTTATACATGTATTAAAAAATAATTATTGTGCATTGCAAGCAATGGTTGGTTTGCTTAATAGTAGTGCTATTCATGTTTAATCAATCAAAAATTTATAATTGTAAACATACTTTATAATTTATAAACACAAGATTAATCTTATTATATATGAACCCATTAAATGGTAAAATAAACTAGAATATACTAAGAATTATTTAAGAAATTTTATAAAAAAATTATAAATAGAAAATTAATCTAAATGAATATAGATGGTAGAATATCATATAATAGCCAATCATATTCTAAGCATATTAAAAGGCTTAACTACAAATTAAATATTATATTTTTACAGTAGAGAGAATAAAGTAGAGTGTAAAGTTGGTTCTGAGTGGAAAAGTTGATCCCAAGAATAGAAGAGTGTTAAGCAAACATAAAAACAACATCTCTAGCACTCGAAGCTTCTTGGCCGCTCCCAAACCAGCCTCCACATGCCACCAGCCCCTCTTGGGTGCTGCAGGGCCTAAGGTCATCACATAACACCATATCTATCCTGATTTAAAATATCAAACTTAAAATTAAATCAAGTGCTAGTGACTAAATACTAAACCCTCTCATTGCTGCCCGAGTGCCAATGGAGGAATCATAATACATGGCACATGCACCCAGCAAGCACTCCCACTCCAGTGCTTCGTCCTCAAAGGGCATATTGAGGATCAAGTCCTCAGCAGCAGCCAGGAAACCAGCTCGCCCAAGCAGATCAACCATACAAAAGAAGTGTTGCCTAGTTGGTGAAACTCCATAGTCCATAGCCATTGAGACCAAGCAACACCTCCCAGCATATAATCCCCCCGCACGGCTACAAGCAATGAGAAACGAAGCCACACATGAATCATTGGGTGTTACGCAGTGAGCAGCCATTGAACTTAACGTGAGATCTATTTTGTTTTGTGATAGCTCTCCTTGGGCATAGCAGGATAGCAGTGCTGACCAAGAGCCAGAGTCTGGATCTGGAATGGAGTCGAAAATACTCTTAGATTTGAGCGGATGCCCGTTTTGGGCATATGCATATATCAATGCGTTCCAACAGGTGGTGTCCCTCTGGAGCGTTTTAGCAAAAATTCCCAGTGATTCCTGGATATGCCAGTTTTGGGCATATGCAGCAAACATGGTAGTGCATGAAAAACAGTCCCACTCGGGCATTTTGTCAAATACGTACTTAGTGTACTCGAGATCCCGTGCATAGGCATAACCTGATAGGATAGATGTCCATGACGCTAGGTTTTTCCGAGGCATGCTATGGAACATCTCTTGTGCTTTATCTATTTTTCCGTTTTGAGAAAGAAGAGAAAGTTTCAAGTTGCATGATACAATATCCAGACACGGCATTTGCCCAAGCATGGTATCCACTTGTTGGGTTTCTCCATGTTGAGCATATGCTAACAGCATTACGTTGCAAGCCAGAGTGTCTAGATCTGGGATTCTCTGGAATATATCTATAGCTTCTCTAAGATTTTCACCATGGGCATAAGCTTTTAGCATAGCAGTCCAAGATAACAAGTTTCTGTATGGCATCTCATCAAATATTTGCTTCGAGAGCTCAACGCGTCCTCTCTCGGCATATGCCGCGAGAAGAGCAGTCGAGCAAACCACATCCCACTGTGGCATCTTGTCATAGATTTCTTTGGCACCATCTAGGTTATTAGCTTCCAAAAATGCAGCCACAAGTACCGTCCAGCTCACCAGGTTCCTCTCCGGCATCTCTAAAAACACCTTAAACGAGTCGCAGAGATTCCCTACATCGGAATATGCCAAGAGCATTGCATTCCACGACGCAAGATTCCTCTCAGGCATCTGGAGGAATATGTTTCGAGACTCTATAACCAGTCCGGCCCGAGCATATGCGCCAAGCATTGCTGTCCAGGCAATGAGGTCATAACCAGGCATAGAATCAAACAGCACCTTGGCATCGTGCAGATGCCCTTTATCGGCACAAGCCGAAACCATGGTAGTCCAGCTCACAAGATCCCTCGCTGGCACGTTTGCAACAGAAGTTCTAGATTCCCGCAGATGCCCATCTGCGGCATCTGCTGATGACGACAGATTCCAAGGCATTTGGTCGAAGAGCTCCCGGGCTTCTGCGACATGGCCATTTCGTATGTACGCAGAGAGCATGAGATTCCATGAGTAAGTGTCCTTGGCGGCAATGTGGTCGAACACGTGGCGCGCATCCAGAGGGCTGCCGTACGTTCCGTAGAGCTGGATGAGCTTGTTGAGGAGGAAAGTGTCGTTCTGGAAGGCTGCGGAAATTGATGCGTGGATGTCAGTGGCATCAGCGAGGCTCTTACAACAATGGATTGCCTCAAGCCATCTATTCATAGAGGAAAAAGATGCGAGAGAATATCCCAAGGTCGTTTAGGGCAACCAATCCAAAAGGGTGAAAAAGGTGAAAGGAAAAAAATAACGAATTCTTTCTTCCGGGCTTTCCGCCGGTCAGAGAAAATCCCACGGTCCAAAGTGGGACGCCAGGGGCCAATGGAAGCCGCCCGATGGGGCCATCTACGGCTGATATTGCGCCTGCCACGACGCTCGGGCGCTCCCAGACCTAGCCCCGGCCCCGGCGCGGTTTAGGTTCGGCACCGAAGCTTCCCCGCCTTCTTCTCGCCAAAACAATGAGCCGGCATGGAAAGGACTTGGTGCCGGTGTCTCTTTTCGCTAACCCTTTGCTCCTCATTCTTTTGATGCGCGCCTCCACCGTGCGCCGCCGCGCCTAGGGAAGGAAGTAAGCGAGCGATCCAGCGCCCGATCGATCGATCGATCGATCGATGCCAGCGGCCTAGGGCGCCCGCGCCGCCGCGGTTTGTTTGATGTGCTTGTTCGTTGCAGAGGAGGAGAATCGGCGCGCTTCTTCGTGAATTCTGGCGCCGCATTGCGAGGTCTTCCCACGGATTATGGGACCGGTTCCTACGCCCGAGGATCGTAAGTGCTCATTCTCTTTCTCTCGGATTTTCTCGTCTTGACGGTGGAAATTTTGCTTGTAGAAGTGAACGATCTGCTCCAGAACCTCAAGGTCGAGCCCCGGGGGAAGAAATCGGAGTTTCCAGAGGTAGGCCGACGATTCCCCGCCACGTTTTCTACATTCGTCTCTCTTTGTAACTCTGGGCAGCTCTACGCGGGCCAGGACGGCAATATTTCGGACAGTAGCGGCGACGCGTCAGTGTCTAGTGGTGATTTTCTTAGCAACACTCACGAAGTTAATCCGGATTCGAGCATTTTTTATTCCACAAATGGCTATGCTGCTCAAGGGGGTATGGATCGAGATCCGTGTACCATAAAGCACACGTTTTGATCGTTTCCTCTGTTTTGATATATCCAGGGACGACGGACTGGGAGGAGTATCCTCGTTACGTTGGCCTTAATGGGCTAGATCCGGTAAGCTTGTCAAGAAATCTACTTTGTTTTCCATTGAGAGTTTTGGAGCTCAATTGTGTGTGGTCTTGCTTGCAGGCCTTGTATAACCCCGAGAGCCTTGTTCTAAGTTATGGCTATGCTTCGCAGCCATACGGCCAGTACTCCCCAGCTCCGTTTTACGCCGATGGTCAGCTCTACGGACAGTCCGCTTTTCATTTTCCTGCTCCGGTGTACCACGGTCAGTATCACTTCGTAGAGGTGGATCCCTTGAAGAATGATGGATCAACAGGTGCTATTCCGACGAAGAATGTGCAACGACCGGTTGCAGTGATGGGGCCCTACATACATTATCCCATGCCTGTGCATAATTCCAGGCAGGATGGCCGTGGAGGTTTCGAAGGGCTGCGAGCTACAGCTCCTCCTTGGGTTGACTCAAGAAGCTCTTCTCATCAGAGGTCAAGCAACAAAACGCAGGTAAGCTTTCAAAAAGTTATGGCTCTTTTAAGTCACCAAAATTTGGTTTTTAATTTTTCACAGCAAGAGCCAGCCCCGGCTCAGAAGCCTGGGGAGTTGGGAACAGGTTTTCCACCTTTGACAAGGTCGGCTCTCAACTCTATTGGACCAGGCAAAGGAAAACGGGGCAATGTAGATGGTAGGCCGGTAGGGAAAGGAGGAGATAGTGTCGAGGCCGAGCACAACAGGGCACCAAGGGCCTCAAAAGGAAAGCCTCAACGAATATATCCTGAGCTGCAGAAGAAAGGATCAGGTGGAGAAGGTGGCGAGAATTTTGTGGTATCCAAGGAGCAGTACAATAAGCCCGACTTTTCCACGTCCTACAGCAACGCGAAGTTTTTCATAATCAAGTCGTATAGCGAAGACGATGTACATAAGAGCATCAAGTACGGTGTGTGGGCGAGTACTCCAAATGGAAACAAGAGGCTGGACGCGGCATATAAGGAAGCGGCCGGAGAATTTCCTATTTTCCTCTTTTTTTCGGTGAGGTTCCATAGCTTTGTTGCTTACCTGGACATCCTGAAAACGCCTCGTTTCAGGTTAACGGGAGCGGGCAATTTTGCGGGGTAGCTGAAATGAGCGGACCAATGGACTTTCTCCGGAGCGTCGATTTTTGGCAACAAGACAAGTGGACTGGACGGTTCTCAGTAAAGTGGCATTTCATCAAGGATATCACTAATGGCCACTTCCGGCACATAATTCTAGAGAACAACGATAACAAGCCCGTCACGAACAGCAGAGACACTCAAGAGGTAATCTAAATGTAGCTTCTCAAATGGAAGAACCGCCAGTACTAACTTCCATTCCACACCACAGGTCCAACTCGATCAGGGACTTGAAATGCTGAGGATTTTCAAGAACTACAACTCTAGCACGTCAATTCTGGACGATTTCCAGTACTACGAGAACCGGCAGATACTAATGCAGGAGAAGAGATCACGGAGCTCACAAAAGCAGCAGCAGCAGCAGCAGCAGGTACTCTCTCCTTTTTGTGATTGACGCGCACTAATTTGGATTTAGGATGGCGCGACGCTCTTGAGCAAAAGTACGGGGGACGTGGTTGGCGCAGAGAATCTTACCGACAAGACGAGTGCCTCCACCAGCACAGAGAATCTTACAGACAATAAGTTGGCTTCCACGAGCGCGGAAGGCAACGCTACTACTACCACTGCTGCCAGTGCTTCTGCGGCGATGCAACGAAAGTCCTACCTCCATAGCCTGGCAGGAGAGAAAGACGCGGCGGCCAATGCGATTCCAGTCTAGGCGAGCAACTTTTGGTGCGGCAGAGAAGTAGGCTGCTCTACTGCCACACTCGCTGGTTTGTGTTGCGATGCCGCCCTCTTGATGCGAGAAGTTCCACCAGGGAAGATTTGGAGCTGGTTTGTTCTTTCTTTCTTTTCTTTTTTTCTTCCTTTTTTTTTCACTTTCTTCGGTTTTTTTCGTCGTTTCCTTTTTGTTTGGCTGCGAAGCAGGCCTACACGACAAGGCCTTGGAAAATGTTTTTGAGAATAAGGCTCTGGGAGAAAAAATAAAGAAAAAAACAAAAGAAGATTTTGCAAGGACCCCTGTTATCATTGGAAAAATTGGAAGACCATAAAATAATTGACGATGGTTTCGCCACCTTGTTTATAACGTGACCAGCGTTTGAAGATTGAATGGCGCTACTGCTCCCGAGCCTCCTCTCCACAAATAGTTGGAGAAAAATCTATAGCCCTGTTCCGTGGGATGGAGGTCCCAGAAGAGATACTTGGAAGGATCTTGGCAAAGAAACTGCTTAAACGGCTTGTCTGGAGGAACAGGCATGCCGCAGGCTACCTCTGCGTGGAACTCTCCAGCTCCACAGCAGTTCTGCCTCGTCTCGATGAATCCTACAGGATAGAAAACCTTGGAAGGACGTAAAGACGAGCTTGGCTTACCATATTTGCTTGCATTTCTTATCATGTCCATGTAAATCTCATATGACTTCACGGTGATGATCTTCGCGTCTGGCAGCTCTGCTCGCAATTGTGCTAGCATCTCGTTGAGTTTGAAATTGAAGCTCTTCGCCATGGAGTTCAAAGGGAGATAGCACCCTTGCTTTTTCAACTCTGAGCTGACATAATGTCTCGACAGCGGCGTGCATCCCAAAGGTCCCAGTTCAGAGATTGCAAATTTTCGAGCACCTGCGTCATACAGTGCCTGTGCCCAATATAAAAAAGGAAGTGATACCTACTTTTCTTTGAAAGAGATTTTTCTTCTTACCTTGAAGCTTCTGTTGTAAAGAAGTATCAGGAAGTTCACATAGTATTCTGGAGGAACCTGTTGGAACTTGGAATCCGAAAAGTAAGTAGTGATAATGTCGTTACTACCAATATTGATGTGAATGATGGACTTCGCAATTTTCTCGTTTACTGCTGCAGCCGGTTGCCCTGCCTTCCATTTTGAAACCAAGCTATAGAATTGGTTGATCTGCTGGGTGTACGAAATGATATTCTAGAGAAGACAAGGTGACGCAGAAAACGAAGGAAAAAGGAAAGAACACGTTATACCCTATCTTCATTTGTAATGTCGAGAAGTCCTGCGCCGGAGGACGCAAAATTTGCACCAAAAGCGTGGCTTGCATTTCCATCCAGATACGGTGGCACCAATGGTAAATTTAAAAACCAAGCTGCACCAACAGCAAGAATTTCAGTAACCAAACTTCCCGGCCAGAAGAACTTACCCAGAAAATCCGACGGGATCAAACCATTGGAATAACGTCCGTTTGGATGATGAAAGTGCGTTTCACCAAACGGTGGAATATCTGCTATAAGAGTTGAGTTGGGAACGAAATAATTGGTTCCAACATCAACCAGTGAATCTCCAAAGATAAAAAGCGCAGGGACCAGAGGTGTTGCCAAGCACAGCGCTGGTAAGAAATAGACTACTGCTAGCAAGAAATACAATTCACCAAAGAAATTCATTGCTTACCGTCAGACTTCTCGAGACACCTCGAGCTTGAGCCTCAATTGCCTTGTCGTTTTCCATATGGGTGGCTGAACCAATGCTCAGCTAGCTGTCTCCAAACTTGTCTTCGCTAAAGTAAAGCTTACGTACCGCATGCTAATCTGACCCTTCAAGATCTTCGTCGTCTCTCAATATAAATAAAATACAATATCGATATTAAACTCCCGAGTTTTTCAAAGTGAAAGCCTCGAGAGGTAAGCCAAAGTGTAAGGACTTGTAGACTTACCAAACAAGGTACAGAAATCCGGCAGCAGCTTCAGTGTCTTTGCTGCGTCAGGAGTCAAAACATTCAGGTCCGTCCTGAGCTTGAGCAGCTCCTTGCTGCTCGTCTCGGCAGAGATTCCCTTTTGCCAGACCAACTCAATATTGAATACGTGAGGGCCATTTTTACCGCTCGCAAACTGGAGCACATGAACCCCGTCTATTCCAGCGATGTCGTCCTTCGGCACCAGCATCTCTTTCGTACCTGTACACAATCGCATTAATGTCGCAGAAAACCGACTGGGCAGGATGAAAGTGTTTTACCCGTTTCCTCGGTGATTATGTCCACCTGAAGAGCTTGAATCCTGTCAGTGTCGATAGAAAGAGACCACCGATTGGAAGACATCGTCTTTAAGAGGACAGATGTAGTTCTCTGGTCGCCGACAGTATGATCGCTGAGGATCGTCAGGTTCGGACGACCTTGCCATAAATCCTCGTCCAGATCACTGGGTTTTTCACAGCCTTTCCTAACGCCGAAGGTCACAAAATCTGGTCTCTCGGTACCACCGCACGTGAAGCCGCTCTCAGCAAGAGACTGGACTTCTTTCCCAAGCCCACCAGGAGTCGTAAATGACACTGAAATATACGACTCGGAGGACAGCTTGTCCATGTTCGCTTCAATCACATGAACAACCTGCAGGAGCAAAATTAGAAAGAGAACACAAAAATGAAAATAAATCTTACGTATGTGCCTTTGGCGACGTCCTTTGTAAATGCGGGCACCAATTCATACGACACCACCGACAATGATACAAGAAAAATAAATATTGTTGACAATGAAATCCATACTCCGGCACCTGAGCGGACAAAAGGATCTGTAAACAAAACGTTACATATCGTAGAAATTACCTCTATGAATGTAAGGCATCAAATAGCTCAACGAGAGACATAGTATTGCGGAAATCAAGACGGCTATCACGGCATTTCCTACCCACGGAGATCCACCACCTGGATGTCTGCAGATACAAAGCCATATCGTCAAGAAAACCGGAAACGTTTTTACAAACCTGTCAAACCGAACAAGGTTGCTAATCAGCACGTTTGGCAAGCTGAGGAAAATATCGGAGGTCAAAACTATAGGCACGGGTAGGCCCAGCAGCAACGTCCATGAGCTTAATTGCCTTGGAGCTTGGTTCTTTGACAGTGAAGATTCTTTCAAACCATCTGCATTGTGAAAACTACCAGTAAGTATATGAAAACTTATGAAAGAAAACGGACTTACAGGCTATTGACGGTATAACTAGCCAAGCCATTGCAATATACGAAGACCCGGCATTAGCCCACACTCCGAGTCCAAAAACTAAAAGCCACATCAAGAATACGGCCTTGAACATAAACTTCTCGGTTTCCGCAGTCACACTCGCGCTGTTCGGCATAGAACGAACCAAGTAAGAACGCAGTAATTTATAACCGAGTGTATGGCCAATAACACCACCGAAAACTGCCGGAGCACCAAACAGGCCCACTGCCAATATCGGATGAGCTAGATAAGGGACGGAGTATGTGCATAGACGTGGAAGTAGTGCAGCCACTGCCACAGCAGATGATAGAGAAAATATCCAAGACAGTATCACCCCAAAAGCAGCGAGTAATAGCGCTGGTAAAGAGAACTGGTCGGCTCGAATCATCGATCCGACAAAGAGTAGCAGTGATTGGATAAGGACGGACGAGTAGAGAAGCTTTGCAAAATCTCGTGTAAAGGTGACCATATATTGTCCCTGTCGTCAGAAAGCCAATATAAACAACAAAAATCACAAGAGACATACCAAGACGTCAAAGTAGACCATTTCTAGCTTTGAGCTTTGACTCGTTCCAAGATGAGCAAGCTCGGGAGACGAAGCAACCTCCACAAGGAAGGGTAGAATATTATCTCCCAGGTGTTGCAATGATCCAGCTCGAACAAGTTTTAATGCATCATTCTGCGAAAACCAATGTTAGTTAGAATTGTAAGACCAACCCTCAAACCTGTTTACCTGAGTGTGATAGACAGCCCCATTCTCGACATATGCAAAGTCGAGGCCAGATAAGCCAGCTATTTCCCTGTAGACTTGAAAATCTGTTGCAGATTTGATGAGTCCTGCTTGAAAAACATCCTGCCGCCATAGGTAAATACAAATAAAAAAACATTCTTTGCATGCCTAGAACGTACTTGAGCAACTATGTTGGCAGACGGACGCCGAGCAGTCTGAGCAAAAACGTCCACAAGCCATTTGTCCGGTCCAGCCTTCGAGAAATCGACTACATTTGTTTTAAACATGAGAAATGAAAACTACCTGAAACAATTTAGACTTTCCCCCTGCTCCCATGGCTTCCAGATCTATAAAAGCTCTGATCGATGAATTCCAGTGGTGCTGCAAAAGAACAAAAACATGAAATAAGCTTTTTAGAAAACAAGACGTCTCACCTGAGTGATAAAGCTGTGAGCACCATCAAGGCCCTCCTCTTCTCCGGCATTGAACAAGAATACCACTGAATGCTTGAATCCTTGAGCTATGTTGGACAGCGCTCGGACAAGCTCCAACATAGAAGATACGCAGGAGCCGCAATCCCCTCCTCCGCTTCTAGAGTTCCAACTTAGAATCTTTCTCTGTCTAGAACTTTAAACTGAAGTTCGCAAAAAGCACTTACGATGTGAAGACCGTGTCGACATGAGAGGACACAAGAATGGCATTGTCTTCGGCATCGTCCGAGTGCTTGGAGCTCAATCGAACGAGTACGTGACTCAAGTCGGCATAAGCAAGAGTCTTTCCTTTGAAAAGCCCTCCTTGCAAACGATTTCTTCCAGGCTTCGCACGAAAACGCTCGATCTCCATAAAAACCCGTGAATTCGCTTTGCTCTTGATGAACTCCAGGACACGAACTATATACTGCCACACGATCGATCAATCTTTGCATAGGAGAAACAACAACAAGAGATTGCATACCTCCAAAGCGTGGTCGAGATTTTCAGAGCCAACAGGCTTTGGCCCAAAGCTCGTGAGTACTTTCAAATGCCCCATGGCGCGCTCTTCCGAAAAACCGAGCTTCCCAGCTTCCTCGGCGGGCAGCGGCCTCGGGAGCTGAATGCTCTGGACGTAATGCACCGCGAGTCCGAGAATCACCATCCCGACGACGCCCCACACAAAGACCTGCGCTGACGCTGGATCCTGCCGCCGCGCCGGTGAATCAGCCGTTACCCTATCTTTTGATTCGATCGCAGCGGCGCTCGATCCGCCCGCCGCCTTCCTCGCGCGCAACGACGAAGCCATAGCCAAGCTCTCAAAAAACCCTAAAATTCAAAATACTTTAGCCTTTTCCAAAACCCTATACCTCTATAAAAGAACTCGGGGATTTCCATTCTAGGGTTTATGGATTATCCACTTGCTACTGGGCACATCAAGAACAAAGTCTTGAGCATCCTGGATAGTGCTGTTCAACTCAACCTGGTGAGGAAAGGAATCAATGAAGTTCTCAAGACTTTGGAGCGAGGACAAACAGGTTTCGTCGTTATAGCATCCGATACAGAGCCGCTGGAGATCGTTTCGAGTGTGATAGCCGAAGCAACCATGAAGAACTTTAGCTATGTATTCGTTCCCTCAAAGCTGGAATTGGGACGCATATGTGGAATAGCCAGACCAGTGAGCGCTGTGATTGTAACGAGCTCCAAGGGCGATGTGGATGCTCACACTCGTGAGTTTGAAGATGCGATTGCCACCCTTTTGATTTAAATCTACCTCTTAAAGAACCCTAAAAATACTAGTCTAGATTTTAGGGTTCTACACCACATCTATCAGCAACCTCTTCTGGTCGATCTGATCGTCGCTATCTCCCGCGGAAGTGAGGCTGGGATCCACATCCTTGAGCATCCGCACAACCTCGCGCATCGAGGGGCGATTGGCGGGCACCTCGCTGGTGCAGTGGAGCGCGATCTTGAGCACCAGCATCATGTCTCTCGGGCTGGCGCCCACGATCCTGGGATCGAACACCTTGATCACGTCGTCCCTGGATTGGATCTTGGCGCACACCCATCGCACGATGTCCATGCCATCGTCGCCAAACCCAGCGTCCACTGGTCTCCTCCCAGTGAGGAGCTCGAGCAGCACAACTCCATAGCTGTAGATATCGCTCTTCTCGTTCACCTTGAGCTTGTGCGCGTACTCTGCAAGGAAAACAAGGATTCCATCACTTTGGTCGATCGAAGAAAGCAAAGATCGAAAGACCAACCTGGAGCGATGTAGCCCAAAGATCCTGGAAGCGATGAAACTGAGTATCCGCCACCATTTTCCCCGCTGGATGATCCCTCGAGCAGCCTCGCCAGCCCAAAGTCCGCCAGCAAACCATCAAACTCCTCGCTCAAAAGAATGTTGTTTGACTTCACGTCCCGGTGGAGTATCTGCGGTACACAGTCGTGGTGTAGATACGCCAGCCCGTGCGCGGCGCCAAGTGCCGCGCGGTACCGCGCGGACCAGTCCAACATCCCGCTTTTTTTACTGTGGAGAAGATCGCCCAAGCTCCCATTGGGCATGTAGTCGTAAACCAAGACGTTGGTCTCGCCATTGGAGCAGCAGCACAGCAACCGGACGATGTTTACGTGACGGATCCGTCCCAGGCTTTCGATCTCGGCCTGGAATCCATAGTCCCAGCCGCTGCTGCTCGTCGTGTCTTTGCCACCGCTCGACGACCATAGCTTCTTCACGGCCAGGCACTGCCCATTCTTCAAGCTCGCCTTGTAAACTTTCCCAGCTCCGCCACACCCGATCACATTGTCCTCGTCCAGGCTCGCCAAGACATCCTCCTGGCTGAAATCCAGCTTCTGGAACGGCGTCAAGCTCCACTCGAGCGCCTCTCCGCGTCCTCCAAACCTTCGATCCTGCTCCTCCCGGTGGACGAGCGCTTTGTACTTCCGGTAGAACCAACACGACGCCGCCAAAGACACCAGCGCCGCGGAGGCGAGCACCACTCCAGCGATCAAAGCCATCACTCCCGGACTCCTCTTGCTCCTCTGAGTCTGATCGGCCTCCATGCCCGAGGAGGCCGAGCAAGGAGAGCCCGAGGTGGTGACGCACAGCCCCGGGTTGCCGATGAAGCTCGAGCCAAACACCGCGCTGTTCACGTCAAACGGTACGGACCCAGTTAACTGGTTGTACGACACGTTGAAGTGCGTGAACTCGGCCAGCCGGAGCTTGCCGAGCTCGGGCGGGATCCTGCCGCTCAGCTGGTTCTCGGACAGATCCAGCGATATGAGATTGGAGAGCTCGCCAACTTCGCCTGGGATGGATCCCGAGAGGGAGTTCCTGGCGAGGCTGAGGTACTGCAGGCGCTTGAGCTCGCCGATCTCGCCAGGGATCGGCCCCTGGAGCTTGTTTCCATCCAGGAAGAGATACGTCAGGCTCAAGCACTGCGCGATCTCGCTGGGGATGCTTCCGGTGAGCCGGTTGCCGCTGGCGTTGAGCTGGTTGAGGCTCCGGAGCCGGCCCATCGATTTGGGCAGCTCGCCATCCATCTGGTTCCCAAAGATCCTCAGCATTTCCAGCCTCTCGGACTTGGCAATGGCCGGATCGATCGCGCCCTCGAGCTGGTTGTCCGAGATATCGAGGATGACCATGAGTGGCTTCCCCCACAGCCCCGGCGGTACCGCCCCGGAGAGAGAGTTCCCGAAGATTCTTACCCGGATGAGCGACTCGCACGACCCCAGCTCCGGCGGTATACCGCCCGAGAAGCTGTTCTGGAAGAGCATGAGCCGCCACAGCCGGCCACCGCGGCAGAGATTCCTGGGGATTTCTCCCGAGAGATTGTTGGAGGAGACGTCGAAGATCTGGAGGCTGGAGAGGCTGCCCATGTCCGGCGGCAGCTTCCCGGTGAGGCGGTTTTGAAACAGTGCTACGTCGTACAGCGCGGTAAGGTTGGCGATGCCGCCCGGTACCGCCCCGGTCAGCGAGTTGTTCCAGAGGTGGATGAGCGCCAGGCCGCGGATGGACGCGATCTCTTCCGGTATGCTCCCGCTGAGAGAATTGCTGCTGAGGTCTAGATCCGTGAGAGACGTCAGCCCCGCGATCTCCCGCGGTATGCCGCCCGTGAGGAGATTGTTGTAGAGCTCGAGCTTGGTCAGCTTGGGGAGGCCCAGGATCGCCAATGGAATCTCTCCCGACAGGCTGTTGTACGTGAGCTCCAGGAAATCGAGCTCGCGGAGATCGCCCAGCCAGGAAGGAATTCGCCCCGAGAGGCCGCATCCGCCACACTTGAGCGACTGGAGAGTGGAGAGGTTCCGAAGGGATTCTGGGAGCTCGGGGCCGAGATTGTTGTACGAGAGCGTGAGATTCGTGAGGGAGGAGAGCTCACCGATCGAAGATGGCAGTGGCCCCCCGAGCTTGCAGCTCCAGAGGAGCAATCGCTGGAGATTCTTGAGGCCGCCGAGCTCCTCGGGAATGGTTCCAGTGAAGGGATCGAAGGAGAGATCGAGGTGCTGGAGGAGCGACAGCGCGGAGAGATTGGCCGGGAGAGCTCCGCCCATGGATGGATTCCTCTGGAGCTCCAGCGAGACGAGATTCTTGCAGCTGAGAATCCACACCGGGAATCCCCCGGAGAAGGAGTTGTCATACGCGGCGAAGGAGGAGAGATTGGAGAGCCCCGAGCAGTCGAAGAGGCCATCGATGCTGCCGCTTAGATTCCTCGATCCGATGTTGATGGCCACCACGATTCCAGTGACGCATTCCACGCCCTCCCAGCCGCACGGGGATTTGTCCGAGCTCTTCCAGCTCGCCAGCCGATCGTAGCGATCCACGATTCCACTCTTGAGCGCGAGCATTGCCACGACTTGATCCGACCCATCACCCAAAGCCACGGCAAAGATCGCGAAGCACGATCCCAGCACCGCGGCGAGGATCTGGCACGACATCCTCGCGCCCGATCGGCGAGACCCACGCGCAAGAACACGGTCAGCGGCGCTCATCCATTTGATTCACAGCAGATGCCCGGCCTGGGCATTTTGACCGGTGATCTTTTCTCTTGTGCGTCGAGCGATCCCACCCAACCTCTTTAAAAATCCTGCGCAGATTGATCACGACTACGATGTGATTCCCGGCGTAGATATTCAAAAATTTGGAGACGCAGACGCCTCTTTTCCTTTCCACCCTTTTCTCTCTGCAAGAAAGATAGCAACAGCGAGGGGTCGCTCCACAAACAGCTGCAGCGCTCGAACGGGACCCTCTTGCGAAAAAAAGAAAAAAAAAAACTCGCTCCGCAAAAGATGAAACCAACTTGGCTTCTTCGTCGTCTCTCACGACACCAATGCTACCTCATCAGCCACAAATCGGCTACAATTTCCTGGAGGATCTTCCCAATTATCACCACTGGTACTCTCTCTAAGTAGCTCCATAGCTAGCCTCGTCTATCTACACCTTCATCAACTCCGAAAGATCTATACCACATCACCCAAAAGATCAATCCATTCGGCGTCATTAGATCTGTCTCCATCCAGCTACGGAAGCTCATCCCAAATGCAAGCGATCCCGCCCCGAAAAGGAGCAGCGAAAGCAACAGCCATCGATCGATCGCATTTTTTTGAAGGGAATCTCAGATTAGATTAACACTGGACTAATCAACTCCGGCACCCGTAGTTGTTCCTCGATTACACGCAAATTCCTGGTGTGGTGTCCCTCCAAAGTCCCAATTAAACAGCATACCCAAAGTGCTCCGTGCTGTGCATGTTGTTCCCCGTGTTGCGCGAACAATGATTCAAAATCGTCGTGTATGGTGTCTGTTTGGAGGAATATAAAAATAAGAAAGAGTCGGAGCGAATCCTTCCAGAATCGAAACTCCGCTTTGCCATTTGTTCGGTTGCGTTGATCCTAGTTGAGGCCTCCACACCAACCTGATTCACTCTCTCTCCGCTTACCTGGCGATGACGTGGCATCAGCCTTGTTTTATCTCCAGCGCACTCCCTCTCCCGTCCGTCGCCGCTGCACACTCCCGCCCGCGGCTATCGCCCGCCCGCGGCTCCCGCCCGCCCGCTCGCCCTCACGGCTCCCGCCCGCACTCCCACCCGCCCCCGCACGTCCGCCCGCGCCCAGCGTGCGCCCTAAAATTACTTCCACGTGGCCACAGCCCCAACACTTAGCCAAATTTCAATCAGCACGCCCTGGTCCACCCATTCACGCCGGATGGTTGCCCCATAATTGACCTAAAAACGTTTCTGTTTCTTTTATGATCAAGCATGGCAGCAGCACATCAATTTCCAGAGGTAAGCAATCAATTCAATTTCATATTGATTCAAGAAAATCATTTAAGATCCCCCATGGCTTGATGAGGTGCAAGAATTCCATGAAAAAGATTATTTTTGTGCAGATGATTTAGATTGGAATTTGTCTAAATCAAATGAAACTATAGCTCCTATTGTGTATATATTCCAGAAAGATGTGAATAAGTTTCTAGATGGTGAGAGGAGAAAGGGTGATAGAGTGGATTTTTGGCGATTTTCTAACAAAAATCGTGATCCTGGAGATTTGAAACGACCCAAAAACACAAGCTTTTTATCATTAATCAGGTATATCTTTTTAACAAAATATAATTACTAACTTCATGATACAGGTATTGGTGTGAATATGGAAAACAAGATGCTCATGAAACATCCTCTATTATGGTTGCTGAATCTACACCAAAGTCAGGATTTGGAAGTAGACCAGGTCGAACTTCTAATAAGCGGGGTTGCCTTTGCAATTTTTTGGTCAAACAGTTTTACAAATGGCCTGATTATGTGTAGATTACATATTATCATAGAGAACATTGTGATAAGAATGGGATTCCTTGTCATGGTCAACTTGATCCGACTGGAGGAAAGTCATTATTTCCTCAGAAGCTTTCAGCAGATATTCGATATTGGGTGATTCATAGTGACAAAAAGAGTGAAGAGTGACAAAAAAGACAGGAACGGAAGAAGTACCTTTAGTGATCCAGCGGGTGTTGAACCAATTCCAGGATACCATGCCGGAGGAGTTACCGGCGGGGTTGCCCCCCGCATGACCGATAGAACATAAGATTGAGTTAGTCGAGGGTGCTGAGGCGGTGGTTTGTCCCCTCTATCGTTTGAACGAAAAAGAACTCAAGGAGCTCAAGTGCCAACTAGAGGAGTTGGTGGACAAAGGGTATGTTAGGTTGAGCAAGTCGCCATATGGGGCGTCGGTGTTATTTGTGAAAAAGAAAGATGGATCTATGCGCATGTGCATAGATTACTGGTTGCTCAACAAGTATACAAAGAAGAACAAGTACCCTTTGCCAAGGATTGAGGACCTATTCGATAGGTTGGGAAAGGCGCGCAAGAGCAATCGACAAGGACGCGAGGTGAGAGAGTTGTGAAGTGGAAAAGATTTCCACACTGCGAAGCAACATGGGAATCGGAGGAGAACCTGGCAAATGCGCGAGATCTAGTGGAGGAATTTCTGCAAGGCAGAACTCTATGTACTTATGCAAAGTTCAATTAAAAATATTAATTTGCAAAGTTGAGCAAGTGGCATATGTTGGGACCCGAAGGCGCGCCGAAGGTAAGCTAATTAGCATGGGTTAGCTAAGTCGACCAGGCGTAGGGAGCTAGGCCCGACTCCCTGCGGGGATGTCGAATCCGTAGACGTATTCTACGGAGGTTGGGTTCGAGTCCCAACCCCCTAGTAAAGCAAGGCTGGGTTCAAGTCCCAACCCCATACTAGGGCGTGGTGCGGTGAAGAGTATAGGGACACCTATATTCCGTTGTCATGGGCTCTTGGCCGGGGAGGCTAACTTAGGCTCACCGCTAAGTGGGGGGATGCCCCCGGAGACATGGTCAATAAGTCGTAGGATCAAAAGAGAGATGTTCGATGTGGGCATCGAACTTCTTCTATGGGTGGTGGAGTTGCAAGGAACCAACTCGCCGAGGTGTCGTAGGCTAAAAGAACCCCGAAAGCATGACCAAAATGACAAAGAGTTCATCGGATTGGACCAAGTCGAAGATCGAGTCCAAGACCGACTCGGAGACCAAGTTCGAGATAGAGTCCGGAATCGAGTCCAATGCCGACTCGGGGACCGAGTTCGAGACCGAGTTCGAGATCCGAAATCGGGTCCGAGACCGAGTCCGAGGTCGAGTCCGAGGTCGGGTTCGAGATCAGGTCCGAGATCAGGTCCGAGATCGAGTCCGAGACCGAATCCGAAGTTGGATCCGAAATCGAGTCCGAGATCGAGCCAGAGACCAAGTCCAAATACTAATACGGGTCAAAGGGTGAAAGCCCAAAGCGTGCGTCTCCCAGGGGGGGGGGGGGCTGCAGGGGGTTCCAAAAGTATAGTAGGGATAGTGAGGTCTAGGAACCAGTTTTGAAGGGGCTCTCCAGTGGGGCTCCCAAACCGACTTGAGGTTGAGACTGGGACCGAGGGGCCTTGGGTGGGAGTGAGCATGGACTTGGTTGGTGCTGGAGGGGCCATCCAAGGAAGTGCTCAAGAGTAGCTCCCACTCCCGAAAGGGAAACCGATTGCGGTGCTCCCGGCTCAGGTGGAGTGGTGCCCCACTTGAGTACCACGCGGCTCATTGGTCCTCGCCCTTCCTAGGGGCTTGGGCCTTCCTTCGGGATAGAAGTGGGGGGGTAGAGGTACCCATACCGGGCCGCTAGGCCATGGTGTTTCGCCCTGACATCCCGAAGCAAGTGTTGCACTCAAGACTTGGGATTTAGAGGGTCCCATGATCAAGTCTTGTGGTACCAAGGGGTGTTAGGAATCTGGAAGTTTGGTGTGCTTGGCTACTTGTGCTTGCAGGGAGTGTAGCTGAACCTTAAGTCTAGTCTAACCCAAGGAGGGGGATTGGGAGTGATTTGGGAATCCGTGGATGGATGGCTAACACTTCGTTGCTCGTGCAGTAAGTAGCTGAAACCAAGTAGGAGCTGGTATCATAGGCAAGAACCTTGGCAAGGGAGCTTAGCGAAAGCCAAAGCAGTGTTGGACGGATAGACGAGGTAAGTTGGCAAATTGGAAAGGAAAAATTTGTGGCTGACAATTAGGATGGAAATATGGAAACATCTTGGAAATATTATGTATCATTCAATTCATGCAGCTTTTCATGATGATAATATTATGCGAGCTGAGATTAAACAACTTATTGAACATTTTGAGGTGGATTTTCAAAATGAAGTAGCCTTTATCAAGTATTTTCAAGACGAATGGAAGGACAAAGTTGGTAAGTGAATCAATAATTTAATTTTTATAATTTATTTTAATTTATATTTGATAGATATGTGGGTTGTTGCTGCTCGAAATTTCCCTCATGCTAACAAGGAAACAAATAGTTCGATTGAGGCATTCCATGCAAATATGAAAGCTATACTCTCGTCCAATAAAAAACATGCTCGCAATCGAAAGATGGATTGGGCAATTCATCAACTTACTACTAAGGTTCATGCGAGGTACTGGTTTACTACTTATTGCAAAGATCATGGTTTCATCTGAAACCATGCATATGAAAAGCTAATCGATGGTGCGATTGTTAAAGCAAGAAATATTAACGACTCTCAAGTAAAATTCGATAAGGACAATACTCACAAATCCTATGTACAATCCTCTTCAGATCCAACTATATGGTATCATGTTGTCGGAGGTGAAGGACACAGTGATTGGGCTTTTTTGACTTTGTGTAATTGTCCGTGGGCAATTAAAGGAAACTTTTGCAAGCATCAAGCAAAAGTTATTATGTTAAAACAAGGAGAAAAAACCGATTGGACTACAACTAGTTATGAGGTTCAACCATCACAATCGCATACAATCTTAGAACCTGGGCTAGATGATTTATTTTATCGTCATCAAGATTTTGAAGCACTTGACTTGGAAGCTATGACAAAGGTAATTCACTTATTAATTAAAATTTTGAAATACTTATAAAAATTTAAGCAGGAAAACATCCATCAAGATGTTTATCATGAGCAAGAAATTCAATTGGAGACTACATTAGAGGTAAACTAACATATTTTATATACTAATATATATGAATATTGAGCAGGAAGATATCCATCAAAATATACAGCATCAACAAGAAATTCAGCTAAGGACTACTATAGAGGTAATTTACACTAAGTAAATTTTAAATATTGATATGAACTTTAAGCAGGAAGATATCACTCCATCAAAAGTTACAAAAGCGATATTACAACAAAAGATGATGGATATCTTACAAGATCTTCCTGATGAAGAAGCTTTTTTATCTATGGTTGACAACGATTTAGAAATGATACAGCAAAAGGTTGCAACTTTTAAAGCCAGGCCAGATGATCTTATTCATCCTGCAACAGAATTTCAACAGCGTGTTGATAATTATGGTAGATCCTTGAAGCGAGCAAAACCTTTGGTGGAAAGAATTACAGGTAAAAGAAAAGCTTCTAGTAGTCTAGAAGCAACTCCTTTTACTAGGCAGAGGAAGACAAGAAAGAAAAGCTCTTTAAATGAAAAACTCAATCTTAGCAAAGAATAAATAAAAAAACAAACTCTTTATATTTAAATTAGTGAGAAGAAGATTTCATAAGTTTACCACTTGTCGGCGGATACACGAGCCATGGGCTGATATCTTTTCGCGGG